AAACGAAAAGAAACATTGATTCGAATTCTTCAAGTTAAAGTGCAATATTACCAGAGAAATTCATTACTTGAAGGTTGGATAAAAGGAGAGAATTTCTCTCTCACACATGGAGGGAAAAGAAGGAAGTGAAAAGGACTGTGTGAGGATAGTAGAAGTTGCCAGTTGATTTAATTGCAAGTCAGAAAGACATAAAGTGAAAGAAGCGGGGTGAAATCGGAAGACGGAGCGATAAGCTATTGAGAGAAACGAGGAATCAGGAAGGGTCGAAGTTGATAAAAAGGCGAATGCCACGTTGAAAGAGAGAGAGAGAGTGAGAGAGACGAAGGTAAATTGCCTCGAGATATTTAATCCCAGGGAAAAGGGTGATCGTTTATTGGCTCTCTTCGTCTATCCTCTCATGATGTCTCTCCTCTCTCTCCCTCTTTCTCTCTCTCACTCTTTTTTTTCTCTCTTTTTTCTCTCTCACTCTTTCTTTTTCTTTCTCTCTAACTCTCTCTCTTTCTCTCTCTCACTACCTTTTTCTTTATTTTCTCTCTCTCTCTCTCTCCTTCTTTTTTTTTCTCTCTCTCTTTTTTAGAGAAAGAAGTCAAAAAGAAAAAGAGGGAAAAATCAGAGAGAAGGAGTGAGAGAGAGAGAGAGAGAGAGAGAGAGAGAGAGAGAGAGAGAGAGAGAGAGAGAGAGAGAGAAAGAGCGAAGAAGAAGCGCGCGAAGCTCGGGATGAAATAAGTTTCCCCGAAAGGATCGATGGGCAATCGCGTTAAGCCATCTTCGCGCCTCGTTATCCTTTGTTTTCATCGTCATCGGCGACGGCCACTGCCGAGTTCCGTTTTCCGTCGAAAATCAACTCACGTAATCGAGTTTTATTGCTTTTTACTCTAATCCAAGTGTCGACACTTTCTTTTTCCTATTTTCTTCGAATTTTCTCCCCCTCAGAAAAATTAAAACAATTTTTTTTTTTCTAAAATAAGTTAAAATTATTGTACATTATACTCTAAATTGAAATTAGTAGAAAATATTTATTAACTTAAATATTTAATGAATTTTACAATATAAAAAGTAAATTTCAGAAAAAAAATAGTGAAATTAACTTGGGACTTGGAAAAATTTCCTTAAAGAATAATTTAATATTAAAAATTTTTAAATTGTTATTTCCAGAATGACTTTCACTATTTTTAGAGACAATTACTTTTTTTTAAAACTTAGAAAGTTTACTGCAAAATAGTAAAATTTACTCTAAAAATAAGAATTTTAAAAATAGCTATAATTCTAATATTTGAAAACAAATTGAATTAAGATGAAAAAAGTTACTTCCAAACTTTTTACAGGGAAAGAAATTTGAAAAATAAGACTTTTTTTTACAATTTTTGGTTTTTAAAATATAAAATACCAATAATTTCGTTATTTTGTAATCGAATTAGCTTCAAAAATAGGTCGTTTATTAAAAAATTTCAACTTCTAAAATTTATTAATTTCTAAAAATTAAATAACCCTTCAAAAATTCCATTATTTTCTACAAATTTGAACTAAACTTTATCTCTAAATCAATTATCTATATTAATTTTTAATCATTTTCCGAAAGTTCTTCTAGAATTCAATTATTTAAATACCAAATTTCAATTTTTTATAATAATTAAAACTGTCCATTTTTCTTTTTAAAGAATTATTAAGGTAGAATATTTTCAAAAATTTTTATAACGAAATTTTTTAAATTATTTTTTTTTTAAATATTTCTAAATAAATTTCGAAAGACAATATTTTTACAATTATATACAATTACAATATGTCCAAAAAATTGAAATTTTGGTAAGATCTTTTAAAAATTATTGAAATTTGGTAAAATCTTGGAAAAATAATTGAAATTTGATAAAATCTTTAAAAAATAATTCAGTTTTAAAAAAATATAAAAAAATATTCAAATTTTTGAAGAATTTTAATCATAAATGATTTCTCCGAAATTTTAATAATAAGTCTAAAAAAGCAAATTTAAAAAAATTATAAAATTTCTTATAATCTTAAAAAATTATGATAAAACAATTTGAATAATTTTATATAATTTTTTTTTTATAATTTAATAGACATTTTAATGTAATTTTTCGAAATTAATTGAATTTCTAAAAAGAATTCTTGTATAATTTAAAAAAATTACTTAATTTTTTGAAGAATTTTAATTAAAAATTTTGAATATATGATTATTTTAACGTCAAAATGTAAAAAATGATTTTAAAAAATTTTTAATGTTATTTTTTGTATGTTTTTAAATTTTCGGAAATATGCCATCGAAAATATTGAAAATAATTGTAATACAAAAAATTACTATGAAAAAATTCTGAGAATTAGTTTTTTCAAAAAAATATGTTAATATTTTTACAACCCAATTTTCATTAATTTTCATTTTTCAATAAATTTACACCTGAAGTTTTTTCATTCAAAATTTTTGAGAACTCAATTATTTCCAAAATTATTAATTTAAATTCTTCAAGAATTTTAAAAATTAATTTTTAATTAATTTTTAAATTAATTAAAATTAATTTCTTTAAAAATTAATTTTCAAAAATTGTAATAAAATACTGAAAAAAATGATTTGTTTTCAATTAAATTTCTTCAAAAATTTTAATTATTCAAAATCTTTTTAATCATATATTTCAAAAATTTAATTAGAAAAAGTTATTCAAAAAATTAACTTTTCCAAAGATTTGACTATAGAGTTATACTCTTTTTTTCACACTATAAAAATATAAATAAGTTGCATTTTATACTAAAAATCTGGTACATATTTTGTTGCAAAAATTCGAGGAAAAGTCGTTAAAAGTTGCAATGTTTTTAAAATAAGTCTCGTTAAAAGTCGCATTATTCGAAAATAGTCGAAAAAATAATATCTTAGGCCTGGTAACTAAACATTTTTCTAACTTATATACGAAAACTGGCAATTTTTACAAGTTTTTCTTAAAGATAAGGGAAAAGGGGGAAGGGGGGAGAATATTTTTGATTTTAGGTGGTTTAGGGGATTTTAGTAATTTAAGGGGTTAAAAAAGGTTAAAATTTATGATTTTAGATGTTTTGGAGGATTTTAATAATTTAAGGGGTTAAAAAAGGTTCAAATTTATGATTTTAGGTGTTTTGGGGGATTTTATTAATTTAAGGGGTTCAAAACGGATAAAATTTATAAGTTTAGGTGTTTTGGAGGATTTTAATAATTTTAAAGATAAAAAAAGGGGGAAAGGGGAATAAAAGGCAATTAGGTATAAAAAAAGGGTAATTTAGAGTATATTTCGAAATATTTTTTATCCTAAGCGAGTCTTTTTTAATAAATAGATTCATTTACCAAAAAAGGCTCATTCCGAGACAATCTTTTTTTGGTAAATGAATCTATTTATTAAAAAAAGGCTCGTCTAGAATAAAAAAATAAAAATTATTAAAAAAATTCAATTTTTTGAGTTTATAGAGTAAAAAAAGGATCATCTCGAATAAAAAATTGAAAATGATTAAAAAACGAAAGAATTCAACTTTTTTAGATTATATAGAGAGAAGGAGAGAGATAGTGAGAGATGGTGAATGCATCTCCGCACACCGCATCGTTATTACTCGGTGCTGAGGTCAGTCTACGTGACCGACTTGATATTGCCAGCTACCACCATTCACCATAGTCAACTGCTGGGAACTCGCCACCAAAGCAATAATGCCTCACCGACACCCCGACTTTCTGGCGGCGAATCGGCGATGCCACCCTTTATTCACTCAAAACATCCCTCTATCTTTTCATACCAAGAAAATGAGACTCTTTAAGGATACGAGATAAAAAGCATAAAAACTGAGAGAGCGAGAGAAAGACGCTCTTCTTCCTGAGGAAGAGGTCGTCAGTATTTTTAATTAAATAATTGATGAGTTTCAAAGAAAATCCCATCATCGAGGAAAAGAGAAAAGAAAAAAGAAGCAAGGTCTCAACTCTTCTTCTCTCGATGCCAAAGTGTTTTCGCCTTTTTTTCCTTTTTTTTTTTAACTAAAGTGTGTGTGGAAAAAATAAAAAATATTTCAACTTTCCTAAAATTTTAATATTTATTATTTAACCAAAAAGGGAGAAAAAACTCAAAAAGGGTAAAAAGTTCCTTTTGGGTTCTCACCCCTTTTTTAGCTTCGAATACTAAAATACTCTCCTAACCTAAAAAAAAAAAAAATTATGGTTGAGTCGTATTTTTAAAACTATATTTTACGACTCACTTTTGTTGTCAACATATTTCAACCCCTTCACCATAAAGAGAGACTTTTGCGTTAAAGGTGTATTCACAATAATCAATTTCACTTTCTTAGTGATAAAAGTTAACAACGAATCGGCGCCGAATGTCAGAGGGAGGGGAGAGGGGGGAGACAATGTCGCGTAATTTTCAAAGACTGTTCCTGAATGCCGTGCGGCAATTCAATTGGCCTGAGGGTGCTCACTGCAGTTTAATTTAATTCTCACTATGGCGGCGTATACATATATATAAATGAAAACACGACCCTGTCCCGAAACCCCTTTCTCCGTCGTCAGCGAAATTCTTCCTTTCGTCCGAATTATATAAGGGCGTTATAGTGTGTTTGTTGGAAAAAAAAGTACTCGCACATGAAACTGTTTTTAGCCGAGCGGCGAATTTTAAATTATAAACAAAAATATTTAAATACTATAAATTAATTTACAATTTGTGCCTTAATTTTGTATAATTTATAATTTATACTTTAAAATACTCCAACTTGTTAAAATTATACTTTAAACTTTATAATACTTTAACTTATAAAATTTATACTTTAAACTTTATAATACTTTAACTTATAAAATTTATACTTTGAATAAAAGACGTTTCATTAAAGTGAAAAAAATCGACGCTTACAACGTTAGACACTAAACGCTTTAGGGACGTGATTTTCAGCCTCTCGGCGGCTGCGGAAAAGATTTTTATATCTCACATATTCGGAGAGAGAGTTTTTCTTTTGGAAAAATATAATTTTTTTTTTTTTTTGGTACTCACCGTACATCTTGCCCTCGTCTGAGAGGATAATTTTGCGTCGACCGCATGGCGGATATATGGTGAGAGCTTCCTGGAAGCTCTGCTCGATATCCGGTGACCATACTCCCTCCGCGTCCGCCGCCGACAGGTCCTTCTCATCCTAAAAATCCGTGAAAAAGCCGATTAGAAAAAAAAGAAAAGAAATTCAATAAAATAAGAATAGGATTTCTTCTTGTATTTTTTTTCTTATAAGAAAATTTATTGAAATTTAGCTAGAAATATAAATAAAATTACCATTTTAACATTTATTTGTTTTTATTTATTTATTTTAATTAATTAATTTATTTATTTTAATTTATTTATATTTATTTTAATTAATTTATTTTTATTAATTTTATTATTATATTTATTCGCTATTTTAATATTTTACTATTTTCTTTACCATAAAAATATAACACTCGCGGGGATTCGAACCCACGACCTGCGGACGACGAGGCTAACCTTCTAACCACTACGCTACGGGCGCTCACTATTTTATTATTATATTTTTGTGATAAATTATGATAATTAATATAAGAATTATAATAGAAAGAATAAAAATAGTGTAGTAGAAAGTTAACAAAAGGTTAAACAATATAATGAATATTATGTAAAAAATATTTTAATTTAAAAAATTTTTAATTTTAAAAATAAAAACCACAATAGAAATAACTACTTTTTAGCTCTCAGTGAATCGAAAAACGAAATCATACAGTGAAACCTGGAAGTTAATTAAATTAAGCAAAAGGAGAGAAAATTACATAATAAAAATGAATTCGTGGAAAATGAGAAAATCACTATTCCAATTTTGACGCCGATTTTCGATTCTCTTTGACTCTTTTTGGCACCTGGGAGATAAAGAGAGGTTTTTTTTTTTTGAACGTTTATTATAATACTCTGGCGTATACACATTTGACTTTTGCTCTCATCATCAACATTAAGCTGAACTATCGAGAAAAGGAGAAATTCGCTCAAATTCCACTTGTAGGTATATACATATATATAAAGAGAATATAGGAATCGAGCGCATGATTCTCGTTTCTAATACTACAAGGAGTCGAGAGAAATGGACGATTACACGGAACATTAGAGAACGGGAAGTACACACGATTCTCGAAAATCCAAGTCACGTTTCCGCCTTTTCGATTCGAATATTCCTTCTCTGCCCCCACACCCTTTAGAAAATGCGCGCTCTGTTACTGTTTTCTTCGCGAAGAGTTTAATTTTTTTATAATTTGAGCCAATAAAACTATTTATTAATTATTTATTTATCAATTAGTTATTTTTTTTTTTTTATTACTAGAAAATAGGTAAGTAACACCCAGTAAATAAATCAATAATAAATAAACAAGTAAATAAATTAGTAAATAAATAAGTAAATAAATAAGTAAATAAATAAGTAAAAAAATTAAAAAATTAATAAATAATAAAATAAAAAAACAAATAAATATATAAGAAAAAAATTAAATAAACAAATGAACAAATTAATAAATAAATGAGCAAATAAATAAATAAATAAATAAATACATAAATAAATAAAAATAAACAAATAAATAAGAAACTATTTAAGTAAACAAAGAAACATGTTAATAAATGAATAAATAATTAAATAAACAAATAAATAAAGAAAAAAATTAATAAATAAAGAAGAAAATAAATAAGTAAAGAAATGAGTAAACTAATAATTGTTGAGAATAAAATTTTTCCACTCACATCACTGATCTCCCCGACGTCCAGGTTTTTCGTATCCGAGCCGGAGCCGTTGGCGTCGGGCGGCGGCCCGGAACTCGCAGGGGTCCACGGCGAGGAAATGGTGTCGGCTGCAGCCACCGCACTGCCTGCAATTTTAAAATAATAAAAAAAATTTTTTTATTGCTTTATTCAAAAATAAAATATGTCCCATTTCTTTTTTTCCCTCTTTTTTCAATTAAATTCAATATTATTTGAAATATTTCTAAATTTAAAAATTCCCCTCTTCTGTCCTCTATTTTAATAGATTTTTAATCAAACAAAAAATAAAAAAAAAAGAAATTCAGAGAAAATTGAAAAAAACCGAAAGCGAAAAATATTTTATATTTTTTAATTAATTTTCCTCTCTATTCATAGGAAAATTGGCTGAAATGAAAATTGTGCTCAAAAAGACGAATGAGAAAAATATTTTTTCAATTTTCTCTTTTCAAATAACTTTCATGAAATTCGATAAATAAAAAAGAAAAATAATAAATATTGTAACTACAAACTAAATATTATGAAATTTTCCATTTTTATTGTTCGAAATATTTTACCTTCAATAAAAATAACTAGAAATAAAAGAAATTTTTCGAAAATTACAAACTGTAATAGAAAATAATTTTCCAAACACTGTTAAGCAACCGTTTCTTTTGTAAAGTATAATATTTACAAAATATTTTAAAATATTCAAATATTAAACAAAAAAATTGTTTATATACTTTTTTTGAACGGAGATAAAAAGCTAAAAATCCCTAAGAAAAAAACAGGGCTCGGGATTATTACATATTGTATTAGTTAAAGAGAAACGATTCGGAAAAGTTTGGCTGTCGTCATGTATGTGTATTGAAGTAAAAAAAAGAAGATAAGAATGAGGAAAAAAAGGAAAGAAGAAAGAAAAGAAAAATTTTCGCTATGAAAAATGGAGCGGGTGTGTTGCGGTGAGCAACAAGTGGTCTCTGATATCGCGTATCAGTGCACTGAACACTGGTAGTGGGAGAAAAGCGTAGGCGGTTACTCCGCCTCCTGGGGGTGGAGTGTGCATCGAATGCTTTTCACCCTCACTTTCAGCCTCCCCTTTCCACCATTCCTCATCATCACATCATCCTCTCAAAAAAAACAAATTCACAACCAATTGTATTGCACTTTACACTCAGCCTAATTTTATTCCACACTAAATATCTCATCAATTTATTTTCATTCAAAAAACAAAAAAAATTAACCCCCTTATTATCAAACTATAAGAAAATTTAATTTTTCATTAAAAAATTCTTACTTTATTAAGCACCTACACTTTTGTGAATTTTAGTCTTAAGTATTTAATAATAATAAAGAATTATAAAAAACGAGAAAAAAATTCAAAGAAAATAAGAATAAAATAAATAAAAGTGATAATTACACTCAACAACTTACTAAGAATTTAGCAAACAATTAAAAAAAAGTAAGATAGAAACAAGTTCCAAAGAAATACTATTTTCGAACTAAAAATAAATTTCTCAAATTTTTCTTTCCTTTTTTTTAAAGAACAAGAACACTTGGAATTCAAATAATTAGTGTACGAATAATTTATGGAAAATTAATGTGAAACTTGCGGTGATAGAGTTGTTGGGCGTTAAAAGAAGTGCGCGCAATTTATGGAGAAGCATGTCTCCTTCTCTCCTCTCTCTCTCTCTCTTTCTCGAAAGTTAGGGTGAATAAATTTAACTGTTTTGCGCGTTGTAGATTAAGAGAAAAGTAAAAGAGGTGATTCTCGGATGACAGTGATATAAAGTTGTGTTTTAGTGGCACGATAAGCGGAGACAATTAATTTCCAAGTAAATATAAAGTGTATATGACGGGCGCGCGTGACCGACTAGTTTTTAAACGTACAACGACAACAAAATTCGCGACACAAAACAATGTGTCATACAATTTATTATAACAGCTGCGAAAAACAAATTGAAAACTTAGAAAAGTGGAAAAATCGTTTCTTTTCAATAGAAAAATTTAAAAAAAAGAAAATTTAAAAAAGATCTTTCAAAACTGTTGAGTTTAAAATAACCACTTTTTTGGCGATTTTTACAGTTATTCTACAGATATCAAATTGAGACAAAAAAGAAAAAAAATCCCAAAAGGCCATCAAAATTAGACAAATATTATTCTATTTAATTTTTTAGACTTTCAATCGTTAATTTCCTAATTTTGTAAAGTTAAGAAAAATTTCTTTTGGAGTAGAAGGAAAATAATTAAAAATTAAAACAAAAATTAATAAAATAATTAAAATTACTTAATTACTTTAAGTAAAAAAACTTGAATTTAAATTCAAATTTGTGTAATTGAATTTAAGTGCAATACTTAAAATGGGTTGTTTTGTAATTTTCCAAACACTTTATTAAGCATACATTTTTTTCGAAGTCGAGGCTTAAATTGAATGTAAAAAATTCAAATTCGTGTGACTGAATTTAAGTGCGCAATACTTAAAGACAACTGGGGTGTTTTGTAATTTTCCAAACACTTTATTAAGCACCAATTTTTTTTTGAATTACAGGCTTAAATAGGACTTATTTAGTTTCGCACGAAGTGGGGAATGTTTTAACGACGCATGAGGTACTTAACTGCCGGAAGAGTCAGTGCGCAAGTGCCGCCAGTAGTGGGAGTAATGCGAGCGTGTGAGAAGTCACGGTTCTTCTCTCTCTCTCTCATTGCCCCCACTACTTCCCGCGCTTGCGCTCTACTATTTTCCATAAAACTTTTAACTTAACATTCTCAGCGTCCTAACTACCACTACCACTTAAAAATATTATTTTAAACCACAAATACTCCCTAAATGGAACTTTTTCCCACTTTCAATCAAAATGAAACACAAAAAAACATTTTCAACTTAAACCAATTCGAGAGTAAAAACTAATTCTCACCTTCACGAACTTCTTCCTCTTGAAAATATTAGAATTAATTATTACTTTGAAAATTGTAACAGACTTTCGAAGTAAATTGTCAACGAAATAAATTGTTTCACTCTTTTTTTCAAGAGGGGTGAGAGGGTGGGAGGGAAAGATAGGAATGGAAGAGGTGGTGGGTGGGCAAGTTTAGATCTAAACACACACTATATATATACACCGTGACGAAATTCCTTCTCCCAAAGATCCTGGCGGACATTCTCCTCGCTTTTGGAAAATCGATACATGGCTAGGTCTTCGGAAGGTGAATGTGTGTGACGTCATGAATAACGAAGTCGAGGACGTTGCTCACGTATATAACATACCCTCTTGGAGAGATAGCAGAAGCGGCAGCATCAGGCAGCCAGCAGCCATGGTGTGTGCCCATGGTTAGACGTCCTTGCGGTCTTGCCCAGCATTCCGAAACGCCCCTTTCCACCCTATCACTGCTCGGCCCCGACCATTCCATATCCTTCATCCGCACATTTCCAACTTCCCCTCCTCACTTCTCAACCCCCATAATGTTGTGTGTCCCTCTTCTCTGTCTCTCTCTCTCTCTCTCCTTCCCTCACTCCTTTCCCCCAAATCCTACGCTCCTGGTACCATTTGGGAACCCCCCTCCCATCCCCCTCTTTAGTGTAGTGACCACAAGCGAATGCAACCATGCGTCATCCGCCATGATCTGTGCTTCCTGCTGCTGTTCGCAATGTAGAGAGAGGAGAACAAGAGGATTGCCAGCAACATGCATGCATGGTCACGTATATGCCCCGAGAGCAGGGCACACGTGCGAGTACCAAATCACCAAGGATCACTCGTCACTTTCCCCCTCTCCATTTCCCACCGATCTCAACAAAAGCGTTAAACAATTTTATGTCCAGGGTAATGAGGGCACGTCGACGCAAACATCGTCTCCATTAAGCTCATCCACACTCGTTCTCAATTACTTATTGAATTACTCCCTCTCAATGCTTTCGCTCTCTCTCTCTCAACCCAAAGGTAAACAAGACTTTTATTTCCGCACACAGATCATAATTAGAGGTGTGCAAAAAGGTCGAATAGCATGGTCGAGCTCGAGCCGGGCTCGAGTTTTAGTTACTCAAAAATATTTGAGTGCTCGAAAAATTCAAGTGCTCAAAATTATTTATTCTAATCATAATATTTGAGGCGCAATTTTATTACACTTGTATTATAGACCCCGAACGATTAGGGGAATCTCCACCCTAATGTTCCTTAATTAAAAAGAAAGATTGAGTACCGATTTTACCAATACCAATTAAAGTTAATCAATGATAGAATCCTTAACCGATCACTCATGAGCGGTTAAACTAACTTTAATCATTGATTAGCCTTTAATCGGAGTTTGTGAAATTGGCCCTTAATATTACAAAAAAAATTAAACATTACAATTAAATAAAAATTAAATTTAATTAATTAAACATTAGCAATAAATCTGTGAAAGAAATATTTACAATATTCGGATCGAGTAGATAATTCGTGTACAGAAAGAAGGGAGTAGAGCGCAAGCGCCGAAAGGAGTGGGGGCAATGAGAGCGATAGAGAAAGACGGGAACTTCTCTCTCGCTCTCATTGCCCCCACTATTTTCGGCGCTTGCGCACCAATTCTTCCGTTAGTTACCTGCTTCCCGCAACGTTACAAACATGCCATCATAGTAAGTGCAAAGTGTCCCTAACATTAAACCCCTAAACTATCAAGAAGAAAATATGTGCTTAATAAAGTGTTTGGAAAATTAATAACTAGAAAAACGTTATAAAGAAAAAAAATAGTAAAACACCAAAAGTAGAAGGTAAATGCAAAGTGTGCAAACCCCTAAACTATCAAGAATAAAATAGGTTCTTAAGGTTATGTTTTGCATTGGTCACGTGCCCCATATACTTTACTATAGAAAAACGTCACACTGAATAACATGACCTTAATTAAGTGTTTGTAAAATAAATAAAAAAAACGTTATAAAGAAAAAAGGTAGTAAAACAGTTAGAAAAGTTCCCAAGTAGAAAAGTTTACTCTACAATAATAAAAAGATTCCAAGAAAAAGGACCGTATAATTTTCATCGATATACCAATTGCTAAAACGAAATGTGGTTTTCTGATTTATTTTTCCCGCCCCATTTCTTTTGATGCAATTTGCAGTCCAGTGGTAATATTATACATATATAACAAAATCGAAACGACCACT